TTCGCATCGATAGCCGAATCATTTTTGGAATTTTTATGTGAAAAAAACTCTATGAAAGCTGAGAATCTTTGCAGAAACTGAAGCAAATTTATTATAGAGATAATTTGTATACTTGATAATGTGGATACTTGTTTACGTGATTTAGTTTTTTTAATTGCTTTGTAGAGATCAATGTTGGCTCCAAACTTAACCCAAATAATTCTTGGAAAGCATCACACATCAATCCTTGATGTCATTTTCTTTTTTAAATCTTCCTTAGGACTTTTCAAGCTCAACCATCGCTTCTTCAAAATAATTCACCAGCACCTAGTAGTTTCCATATCGCAAAACTGAACAGAAACTAAATGACATCCGTCGTGTAAATACGACCAATTTTCAGCAACTGAAAATTAAGTAAATTTACGCATGAATGTAACACTCTGCTATTTTGGTGGAAAAGATAATACAAAATGTAAAGCTTATTAATAATTGATTTCTTTTTTTTGGGGGATAATAAAAAAAATGTAAAGCTTATCAATAAATGATTTAAATCAATTAATACTTGAAATCTCCCTAGTAGTATTGCTTACTAAAAATTATGATTAGCACAATGCCAAACTTTATCAGAAGGAAACTTTTTAGTGAGTAATTTGACCACGTGACTTTTGTATCCTAACATCACTGCTGCATTATCACATGCTATATAAATTAAATAACTCTTCAAATATTTTTCTGTCATCCCATAAGAATGAAGATATTCGAGAATAGCATCAAAAATGCTTTTTATTAATTTATAGTTTGTAAAAAACATAATTAGCAGAATTATTAACCATAATTATAATATAATATCTTAATTATAATCATAATTATAATAATATTAATTACGTATCTGCCTTAAAACAAAACCCTAAAAAATAAACAAATAATACTTGCTGTTTTTTCCAGGTGTGGGTCAATTAATTGACTCATCAATATTAATAAAATTACTTTTTATTGTTTCTGCAATAGGGTAGGGTGGGGTAATATGAGCCTATTTTTACCTATTTTTGGCTTTATATTAAAAAAAAAACAATGCATAGGTCTCTGCTTTCTGTCAAAAGGTATCTTAAAATCATGATTGGACATCCTACTAAACAAATTTAACAAAAAACTATTACTTAATATACTATCAATGCGTTTGGGGAGCCTTTTTTTTAAAGATGCCTATAAAGAACCCACATAACCCCATGTAGTGGGGTAATGCGATTCTACATAAAATTTGTGTACTTCTGCTTTAAAATACTGTTGCTTATGAAAAATCTGACATACATACTTTATGCAAGCATCTTTTTAAAGTATATATACAAGGTTTCAATTTAAAAAGTACTCTTAAAATATTGTTTATTGAAAAAGAAATTGCATACATATACAGCACAACATTAAAATTAAAAACTCTGAAAAATGAAAATAAAAAACGGCGATTCATATTAATAAAACTCAAAACCTAAAAATAATTACTTATGTTTTAATAATGTGTTACATAAAAACTATTTTGGATACTTCTCAGATTTTTTTGTGTTTTTCTTGGATACTTTAGTATCCAAAATGGTAATGGCTTTTCTACATTTTTTTAAAACTTTTTTCCTCTCTAACTTTAGGTTCCTCGAGTATTCGACGTTTGACTTTTTAATTTGTAAAAAGTTCTCTACATTTTACTTGAGCTCTCTTTCTTTTTTGTTTTTGTTGGCATATTATTGCTGCTATTTCCGCAGATACATTAGAACATACATATAAGTTTCTTGCATTGCAGATCTTGGGTTTGTAATCTTGGAGATTTAGAGCTATAACGTTCAGGTTTGATTGGTTTGATTTGATCAGGTTTGATTGGTTTGATTGATTGACAGGTCAGATTGATTGAGAAAGTCAATACCTGTTATTCTTCTTTATGGTGAGTACCATGAAATTCTGCAATAGCATTTGCTTGAGAGAGTCCCTGACACTTTTGTTTCAATAATCCTGTAAAAATCTGCCTTATCAATATTTATGCTTTGTGTTTCTCTTGCAAACCGCTTTAAAATTTATCGATTCATTCTCGATTCATTCTTTAATAGTCCAAGGACAGATGCACCTTATGGTTGTAATGTGTGTGAGCAGTTTAATGGAAATCAAATACTATGGATATGGTTGTCCATGGCTACTTTTAGGGTACCATATGTTAAATGACTAGCATGACCAACATAGATTAAGAGTATTGGTTTTTGATCTTGGTCAACAAATGGTATAAAAGATCCACAAGCCTAAACAAAGAATGTATTTACTTCAATTGAATCATTTGTAATGACTTAATGAACAACAAAGACTGTTAAGTGTAAATAAATAAGTAAAAAATTGAAAATAGAAATTAAAAGGAAAAAAAAATTAAGTAGATAATAAAAATTCAACTAACATACCAGTTTTCAAACAGATAGTCTTGCATCCATCCACTAGCCCCTAAAGCACATCCTGATGGTCCATTTTCTCTCCATTTAGAATGAAGATAACCTTCTACCTTAAAAGCAACAAATGGTGGTAGATATCTTTCATCTGCAATAACACAAATCAGCACAGAGTACATAAGTTTACCAGAAAAAGCAGCAAGTTTATGTGCATCTTTGCCTTTTAATTGTACAAATACTTTTCTTGTTAAGTGGTTTGTGGAGAGACCAGGCTCATCAAGGTTGTATATACTACTTGATAAAATGTTATTATTTGAATTGCATCAAACAAAATAGTTAAAAATTTATCTACATTTTCATGTGTTAAACGTTTTTTATTGTAACATTCTTGGCATTTTAAAAATACATTTTAAAGTTATGTTTATGAAAAACATGCTAAGTTTTAGGTGATATAGACACTAATTTTAGCTCATGGGCAAAAACAGTGGCAAAATTCTTGATTTGGATATCGAGTTAAGTGCAACAAAATAGCGCATAATGCCTTTTTCAAGAGTTAAATGCTGTACTACTTTTTATGGCTAAATTATTATAGTTTTGCATACTATTAATCAGTCTGTTTGTTTTTTCCACCAAGTGGAGGTAACGTTCTTTGTAACTTTTGATTAGATTACGTGACTGCGTGCCTTTTGGGTCAATGGAAGCAGTACCAACTGCTTCCATTGAACCAAAAGATTGTTTATAAATAATATGACATGAATGTTTAGCTTTCCAAGCATTGTTTTGTGATAATTTTTTTTTACTTTTCTATTTTTTACAGCCCATAAAAAATGTTGACATTACTTCATAATCAACTTATCACATATATATACATACAAAACCACGAAGAAAAAAACGACGTTCTTGCCATGCACTATAAATTTTTTTATGGCGAGTGTTTCATCATGTTTTATTAACATTATTGTCAAAATGGTTATTTTTTATTTGAGTTGCGGCGCGTTTCATACTTTTTCTAGCAGTTTTACCATAAACTATTGCTATTTCTATATCTAATTTTCTAAATGGAGTAGCTCCCAAACATTATAAATTTATACAGCAACTAAAGTTTTTCATAGCTCGATATCTTACAACTATTTCTCTAAAACAGTTATCATTCTTGTGTTTTCTTCAATGCTTTTCCTACAATGTCTCTTTTATCCTTCCAATTTACTAATCTGTTTAGAAGAATTTTTTTTTTTCAATTCCATTATCCATTAACACCTAAACATTTTTCATAATTTTTTTAAAGTTTTTTTTAATTTTTTCTAGCTCAACCACCAGTGCTGCTGAAATCTTAAGTAATCGATTTTTTGTGAAAATTGTTTTTTTTTGAAATCATAGCTGTTTAAAAAAAATAATAATAAAAGTGCGAACTTGCGTAAATGAAAACTGCCAAAAGTGCGAAGCAGCTGCGAAAACTTGCATAAGTGCCAAATAAATTTACAAACATTGGCATAAGTGCCAAATAAATTTACAAACATTGGCATAAGTGCAAAGCAGCTGCAAAAACTGTTATAACTGCTAACTGTCATAAATGCAACAAAAAGATTTGAAAGCATTTACTTAAGTACAAATTTTCACAAGTGCAAAACAGTCGAAAAACTGGCATAACAGAATTTACAAACACTGGCATAAGTGCAAACTTACATATATGCAAAGCAGTTGCGAAAATTGGCATATGTGCGAAAAAACACAAATGCGCCGAAAATATATAAAAGGACAGGAATAAGTGCACCGAAGGAATTTGCAAACACCGACAGGCGAATCTTCAAAGTACAAAAGGCTGCAAATCTTTTTGGCGCACTTAATCTAGTTTTTACACCTGTTTCGCACTTATGCCAGTCCGCACTAATTTAGCTTTTTGGACAATGCCTCGAAAAATTTAAAGTTTATTTGAAAAAACCTCTATTCACGTTTTGATCCGCCATTATTTTGGCTTTACTCAAAATAAGTGACAAGATACATTAACGCTAAATAATTCGCAGAGAGCTTGATTTAAATAATTAAATCAAGCGCTCTGCGATTTGCTTTTAAAACATTGCTAAGCAACCTAATGAGAAATTCAACATTTCTAAATAAAGTATAACACCTATTTAACTCAATGACATAGGGGAAAATGATATTAAAAAAAATGACCTCAAGATACAATTTTTTTTTTTCATATTTCCAGTTTTTTTTTATTGAGTATAAATGTTTTCTCTATTACAAACGAAAATTTCTAGAAAACAGCTAGACTTAAATGAATAAATAATACAAAATTCCTAAAATAACTACCAAATTTCATATCTTTCATAATTTAAATATCAAATAAATACGAAATTTCTAAACTTTGAAACAAAAAAACAAAATTTCTACATTTCTTAACAAAAAAATACAAAATTAATAAAAATTTTATATTTAGTAATTAGATTGATTTTAACCAATTATCAAAAATACATTAAACCAATATTCTAAAAGCATTACTCTAAAACAATAAAAGCAAAATGTTGTCTTTTTTCATAAAAAAAAAGTTTTTACAAAAAAATTGAATGATTTTAACTCAACCAATAACTGGTTTATCTTTGATAAAAAAAAAAAAAAAATTTAAAAACATATATATTTTTTTTTTAATGACACTTAACCCACTCACCAAATTGCTCATGATGAATTGATGATTCATTCAAAAATCAATTATTAAATCAAATTCATCCGATAACTGATGGATAGCTCAATAGTCTATAGATTACTTATAAACATCAAATAATCAATGAAAAGTTAGGATCTTATCTACGTCATCATTAAATTTAATCATTTAAGAATTTTACTAATTTTCCCCTCCGTCTCTAAAAAAAAAAAAGGACTTGAATAAAATTAAACTTTTATTAATAATCAGTCAACCTCACTACTTAAAACAACACGGAAAGATCATAGTAGACATAAAAAGTAGTTGTAACATACTTAGGCGCAAATTAATTACTAACAATCGAGGATCCCTGTTTCATTTGCTAAAAAAAGTACGGTTAAAATAGCGTTATTCTGGTGACTATTTGTCGTTAATATGATGGCTTTCATTATTCATGCAGAATTATCCCAGTAAACATTTTAAAAGTGATTACTTGTCAAACTATTTGTTTGTCAGAATGTTAATCCCACAATCCCTTGAGTTTTTGAAAAACTACGCAACTGAAAAAATCAATTTTTAGAACTATAGCTTTACGTTATTAGAAAGCTAATTGTTTTATCTACATAATAGTAATATTTTGGGATTCAATTAAAAATTTTATTTTCATTTTTTTTTTAAATTTTTTATATTATAACTTCTGTGTTTTCTTATATTCAGTAGTCACCTGACGATCACAACTTAGATTGCTAAACTAGAATTCATTTTTTTCAGAAGTTCAAATTTGAATTCAAATATTACATAAAAAAAAAAAAAAAATACTGACCCATTGGTTTAATTTTTTTGTTAAGTCTTTTATTAAGGATTTTATTATTAACTTTAATATTGCTTTTTAAGTTATTTAAAACCTCAAAAAGCAATCGCAAAATAGGGATTGTTAACGAGATTTCTAAGTATTATAAGCATATTTCTTTATTTAAAAGGACATAAAAACAACAACAACAAAAAAAACAAGTTTGATTTATATTTTTACCACACTGCACAGTGGGCCAGTAGGTGGACAAAACTAAAAAAATTTATGTCTGAAAACTGAAATTCTTTTTAAAAAGTTTTTACTTAGATACATTGAGGACCTTAAAAATAATTACAATAAATTAAAAAAATATATATTCTCAACAAAAACTCATTTCAAGTAAAATTTTTGCAAAAAAAAAATGGCGATAAAGTGAGAAAATGTAGTTTTTAAAAAAGCAAAAGTGTGTAATAAATTTTTAGTATATTGGTTAACTGTTTTTATTAACATATCAAATAATTGTTAATATATAAAATTTATAAAAAAAAAAAAGTTAAAAAAAAATTTTAAACCAGTTTTAGATATATTTTTTGGTAAAAATTGGACTTTTTTTTTTAATTTTTTTTGAAAAGACAACAAGAAAAAATTTGTGCTCTATTTTGCCTTTATCTCTTATACATATTTTGAAGGCTATATGTATATGTTTTTATAAAATTATTAATTTAGCTGCTAGTATCTGCTACTTTTTTTAATACTTATAATACTTTTTAATACTTATACTTTATAAAATCAAAGATGTTTCTTTTTTAAGTTTCTTTTGTCGCAAAATAACAAGTATTTATATATATATATATATATATATATATATATATATATATATATATATATATATATATATATATATATATATATATATATATATATATATATTATATATATATATATATATATATATATATATATATATACAAATATAAATATATATATATATATATATATATATATATATATATATATATATACATATATATGTTAATACAACTTTTTAATGTTTATATTATTTTAGTCTAATAATATTATTATTAGTAATATGTCAACCATCACAAGATATCAAATTCATCAATTCATAAGACAACATGGTTTATCTATGTCTAATGAAAAAGACAAACTTTATGTTTACAATTTTATTCGTGAATACTGTTCTGAATTTGATGCTCAGTTTGTAACCTTTTTGTCCAAGTATCGTAAACGTTGGTCTTTAAGTAAAAGAATTGATGAAAACTTTATGAAACATAATTCAGTATGGCTTCAAAAAGACTTTATTAAGTCATTTAAAAATCAGGATAATAAAACTGAATCTATAGTTAGTGGTCGACCTGTAAAATTATTTGATGATTCATCAAATAAGACAAAGAGTCGTAAAGTAGCAGCTATGGACTTATTAACTTGTTCATCAAATGAACTGTTGTATGCTAGTAGTTGTAATCTTTTTAAAGATAGCAGAAGAAAGGATGCAAAAGTAGTTCGAAGTTTATCTATTAAGCAACCTTTTGATAGAGAACATACTCAAAACACTCTAAATGAAGCTCTAGCACTCATATTAGATATTGATATGAGCAAATCTGATTACCAACGCTTGAGAAATAATGCTTTGAGCAAAGGTTGTAATCTCTATCCTGCTTACAATGATGTTCGTGCTGCTAAAGAACAGTGTCTTCCTGAAAAAACATTATGGACTGTAAATGATTTTTCAGCAGAAATAAACTTTCAAGCATTAGTCTATCATACAGCAATACGCCTAATACAGTTGCAGAAACAAGTTATTGATTCAATGAATGATCTTGAAAGGTTGACTTTATATTCTAAAGTTGGGTTTGATGGATCAACTAGCCAAAGGATTTATAATCAAGTAACAGTTGAGAAAGAAAACAGAGATCTTTAAAAGAAGCTAGTTTGTTTATTTCTTGTTTTGTTCCACTTCAGTTGTTTGGATTCATTAATGATAAAAAAATAATAATTTGGTCTAATCCACATCCATCTTCAACTTTATATTGCAGACCAATAAAATTTTCATTTAAAAAAGAAACCATTGAAGTTTTGAAACAAGAGAATCAGTTTATTAACAATTCAATTGCAAATTTGTCTTTAACATTTTGTGAAAACTTAATAATACTTCATAAAATTGAAATAACGATGGTGGACGGCAAAGTTGCTACACCATTATCTACAGCAACTACATCTTCTCAGTGTTGTTCTGTTTGTGGATGCAGCCCAAAAAAAATGAATGATCTTAATGCAGCTAAAAATATGCCATTGACAGAGATAGGTCTCTGCTTCGGTCTTTCAACTCTCCATGCTTGGATTAAAAGCATGGAATGTCTTCTTAAAATTAGTTATAAATTGACAGTGAAAAAGTGGGCTACAAGAACTATATCTGAAAAGAAAATTATTCAAGAACGAAAACAGAAAATCCAGATAAGGTTTCGTGATGAAGTTGGACTGATAATTGATATGCCAACATCTGGTGGCTCTGGGTCTTCAAATAATGGAAACACTGCTAGAAAATTTTTTTAGAATGCAGAGAAGTCTGCTCAAATTCTTGAACTTAATGTCAGTATGATAAAGATGTTGCATGTGATTTTGTGTACATTGTCATCTAACTTTCTAATTGATTCTTCACTATTTAGAGAATACTGCTACAAAACAGCTGAGAAGTATGTAATCCTTTATCCATGGTATCATATGCCACAGAGTCTGCATCACATTCTTATTCATGGTTGGCAAGTTGTAGAGAGAATGGCTTTGCCTATTGGCATGCTCAGCGAAGAGGCACAAGAAGCTCAAAATAAAAATTTTAAGAAATTTCGAGAATCATTTTCTAGAAAGTGTTCGCGTTCCAAAACAAACGAAGATTTATTAAGGCGACTAATGTGTTCTTCTGACCCTTTGATAAGTAGTTTGAGAAAACCCCATCATCCTAAGAAAAACGCTCTTCCAATTGGAGTTTTTGATCTTCTTAAAGAGGTTCCAATTTTTGACTAAGTGTCAATGACATAGTTTTGATTTTCGTTGGTGTTTAAGATGGTGTTTACTTTATAAGTATTTAATATTTACATAATAAAATAATGAATAAAAAGTTTGTTTTCTTATATATTCGTTATAAAATTTTTTGTATCTCTAATTGCATAAAAACTTGCTTATTTTTATATGGTTGCTAAGGGTATCTAAACTACACAGTTAAAATTTAATTAACTGTTCCTGTAAACCTTTTATAGTTAAGAGTGTTTTAAAAATTTTTATTTCATTTTTTAAAGAAATTTTGAATTAAGAAAAAGTTTCAAAAAAAATTACCAACTGGTTTCTAAGATCACATAACAGCATAGTAACACCAAAAATTGATAATTTTTTGTTTGTGTTATCATTCAAATACATAAAATAGCAATGTAGCATTAATATCAGTTTAGTTTATAACTTTGATATTTTGAGAAAGTCTTTTTATTTAGGTAACTATGCAAAATGCCTGTTGACATGAAATATAGGTATCCATGGCAACCAAATAAACAATCTAATGGTGCCATTAGATTTGTAATATGAAATATACTCAAGCTGCTAATTATGGGAAAAACCTGATAAATATTTTAAAAGTTATTAATTTTGTCCAGCTAATAATGATTTTGGCCCACTGTGCACTGTAATGAAAGTCATCACGTTAACGACAAATGGTTGGAATAACGTCACTTTAACCGTATTTTAATTTCAAAAAATAAAACACAGAAAAACTCGATTATTGATAAATAACTTGCACCTTAGTACATCAAAACTATTTCCCAACGTCTACTATGATCTTTTCTTATTGTTTTAAATATATTTTTTAGGTTCAGAGATTGTTAAGTAAAACTTTAATTAGTTTAAAACTTAAAACATGAAAAAAATTAGTTGCAAGAATTAGTTAAGCTGTTAAAAATAAAATAGTTAAGTGAAGTTTTAAAAACTTATAGAAGAATCAGATTTCGATTTCTATTAAAAATGTCTATTTAACCTTATCAGTTTGAACCAAGACAATCTTTATAACAAAGAGTAGTTGTGTAATTGAAAGTAAAATAATAAAATTAAAAAAAAGGTAATTTTAATACAAAGTAAATTTTCATACTTTACTTTAAATAGTATAAATGTTGCTTTCTATATGTTGAAATAGTTTTAGAGTTGAAATAATAAAATCTTCTAGTTATACAATTCCAGATGAACTTCAACTTTTCATTCAACAAGATAATATAGCTAATTTTGAGCTCAAGACATTAAATTTTAACTTTCGTTATCATCTCAAAAAAAATTTGAAACTTGCTGTCTTAAGTTTTTGCTCGAAGCTACTAGGTACCTCAGCAATAATACAGTATGCATACAATCTACTGTTTTTGAAACAAAGACAAAGAATGACTTGACTTTTGATAAACTTAATTATAGTATAAAGTAAAGCATTCCAAATTTATCAAAAACAGAGTTACCAAATGCACATTCATAGCATATCATACTCGAAGTAACCAAACTCATATTCACAATTTAAGAATAGTCTCACAACTTGAAATTTACCAAACTCATTTTTACAACTTGAGAGTAATCTTACAACTTGAGAGTTACCGAACTTATTCTCACAACTTGAGAGTGGTCTTACAACTTGGAGGTTACTAAACTTAAGAGTGGTCTCACAACTTGAGATTTACCAAACACATTTACAAAGATTTACCAAACTCATTTGCATCATAACTTGAGATTTACCAAACTCAATTACTTGAAAGTGGTCTCACAACTTACAAAACTCATATTCACAACTTGAGAGTGGTTAGAGATACCTTTATACTTCAACAAAAAGCAATAAAATTTCTGCACTTCAGAAAACTTTTCTGGGATTAGTTATGCAATCATTAGCGTAATAAAGTATAATCCTGATATTTTTTGTGGCTATATGTAATCCTGATACTATTTGTGGCTATATGTATTTTGAATTAAAGCGTCATCAAAAACATCCAAAATTAATTCTTCTCTCAAACAATTTGAATTTATTAGTAAGATTTTCAAATTTTTAAGCTTTGGAAGATCATAAATGTACAAGGTCTATACACAAATATTCTTTATCACTAATGATAAAAAAGCCACAGAAATCTACAGAAAATAATGAACGATAAATTGTTTTATATAAAATTACTAATATGGCGTGGAAAATGGTGGAATCAACACACAAATCAACACAATGGAACAACACTTTGACATAGATGTTTAAGCATGATTGTTATTGTCAAGTACTTTATTAATCTGGAATTTTATATGTGGTACTTGACAAATTTACTATAGACTCTTTAGGAAAAATGTTTGGAAAGTTTTAGCGAAAATTGGGTAAGACTAGTTTATAAACACTCAGCAAGTAATAGAAAAAAATTATAGAATCAACTATAGACATTATATTTTTCACTGCTGTTTCTTTAGGGGAGAACTTGGAGAAACGAACTTTTACAGCATTTGCATGACATCTAATATAGAGAAATCCTAAATTTTTTCTCTCCCTAATACATTTGTCATTTTTTGAACAAACAGTGTTAATGGACTTTAAGTGACTTAACCCCACCCTAGTCTATTGGTTGAACCTATAAGGAAGTGTTTCATGGTAAAAAAATCAACTCTATTCATATGTTATTGATATGATATGTAATAATGATTAAATTGACTGGACAATTATCAACTAATAAAACAATTTTTCATTATTCTTCTGTTAACTGACAATGAATTTCAAAAACCCATTTCTCAAAAAGTGTGAAGTCATTGATTTACCACTAATAGTAAACTAAAAGTTTTCCTCTTCATTTTTAAGATGTAAAGATTTATTTGGTTGTGAGAAAAAAATGAATTTGAAATTAGTTTGAGGAGAAAACTAACCAATCTTGTCAACATTATAAATTTGATTTAACTTATATTTTGATAAAATGGTGTGTGGGTGTGTGTGTATATATATTTATATATATAAAATCCTAAAGCTATAAAATAAGCTAATCTTGTCAACATTTTAAATCTGATTCAGCTTATACTTTGATAAAATAGTTGGTAATGTGGTTTCTTCCTGTAGTGCTACAATTTTTCTTTCTTTAATGTGAGTAAAGGTGCAGTATTTAACCTTATCAAAAATATTTAGATTGAGAAGTTACAAAAGACCATGAAAAAACTGATGATAAAAATAAGATCAGCTGCCAAAACCTAACAATAAAAACCTGCAAATTAAAACCTATAAATCATAACCTGAAAATCAAAATTTCCAAATCAATGAAATAAAAAAATGTTAATATAAAATATAATTCATAACCACTTGTTGTGGAGACAGACTTATTTGAATTTCGGTTTTTTCAAGAGCAAATTTATAAACTTGAAAAAAAATGTATATACTTGATATTTTTCTTCATTTTTATTTTTTATTTGAACTTGAAACTTTAAATTGTTTTTTTTTTAACATTTTTCATTTTATCTTTTATTTGAACTTAATCACTTGAAACTTTAAATTGTTTTTTTTTTAACATTTTTCATTTTATATATTATTTGAACTTAATCACTTGAAACTTTAAATTGTTTTTTTTTAACATTTTTCATTTTATCTTTTATTTGAACTTAATCACTTGAAACTTTAAATTGTTTTTTTTTAACATTTTTCATTTTATCTTTTATTTGAACTTAATCACTTGAAACTTTAAATTGTTTTTTTTTTAACATTTTTCATTTTATCTTTTATTTGAACTTAATCACTTGAAACTTTAAATTGTTTTTTTTTTAACATTTTTCATTTTATCTTTTATTTGAACTTAATCACTTGAAACTTTAAATTGTTTTTTTTTAACATTTTTCATTTTATCTTTTATTTGAACTTAATCACTTGAAACTTTAAATTGTTTTTTTTTAACATTTTTCATTTTATCTTTTATTTGAACTTAATCACTTGAAACTTTAAATTGTTTTTTTTTAACATTTTTCATTTTATCTTTTATTTGAACTTAATCACTTGAAACTTTAAATTGTTTTTTTTTAACATTTTTCATTTTATCTTTTATTTGAACTTAATCACTTGAAACTTTAAATTGTTTTTTTTTAACATTTTTCATTTTATCTTTTATTTGAACTTAATCACTTGAAACTTTAAATTGTTTTTTTTTAACATTTTTCATTTTATCTTTTATTTGAACTTAATCACTTGAAACTTTAAATTGTTTTTTTTTAACATTTTTCATTTTATCTTTTATTTGAACTTAATCACTTGAAACTTTAAATTGTTTTTTTTTAACATTTTTCATTTTATCTTTTATTTGAACTTAATCACTTGAAACTTTAAATTGTTTTTTTTTAACATTTTTCATTTTATCTTTTATTTGAACTTAATCACTTGAAACTTTAAATTGTTTTTTTTTAACATTTTTCATTTCATCTTTTATTTGAACTTAATCACTTGAAACTTTAAATTGTTTTTTTTAACATTTTTCATTTTATCTTTAACATCTGTATGTTCATAAATTTTCTTTTCTTTTTAAATAAAAAAAAAAAAAAAATAACAAATTACTAAAAATTTTCAGTTCTCTATGAGTCAGTTTTACTCTAGTTAACATTTTATAACAAGTAAAAACTATTGCATATTTTAACAATAAAATAAAGTTTTACATACTTCAAAGAATTCAATACCATGTCAAATTGAACATTTTTATTGAATTTGTTATAGAGATTTTGTATCTAAAAAAGTATTAAAAATAACTCAGTTTTGTTAATGTAAAAACTAATAAAATTATTAATAACTAATAAAATAATTAAATGTAACAATGATTGAATGTAAAACTTTACTGCATTTTTTATTTTGTATTTTAGCACATTAGATAGTCCATTTGTTGGATTAGAATACGCTTCTATATAGTCTTCATCTTTAAAAACAATGTTAAGGTTTAATGTCACTTCTAAAGAAATAAACAAACAACTTTTAAACTTTAAAACAAATTTTAAACTTTGAATAAATATAACATACTTATAAAACTTTGAATAAATATATAACGTACTTATAAAACTTAAAGAGCTTGAAAATTGCTCTTTGAGATATTTTATTAAAAAAACTGAACTAACTGTTCTGTGCATGTAAGTACTAAAAATTTCAGGTTCTAAAAATGAAAAAAGGTTCACTTAAAATTACAGTTAATGCAACAGATGCTACAAATCATCAATCATGTATTTTGACTTTTCTTAATTTTTTTTTTTATTGGGCACAAAAAAAAAAAAAAAAAACTGATTAAAACATAAACTTTTTTTTTTCAAAGAATATCTATATGATCATAGACATGTATTATCTTCATTTTTAAAAGGGCTCTATTTCCACTTAGTTGACTTTCAATTTTATCTATTGTTTTTGGTAAACCTGAGTTATTGCACTAGTTATGTACCTTACAATGAAACCATTGTACTACATTAGAGATAAAACTCTACATGCAGTTGCAAAGAAATTGCCATAATGTACGAAAGGTGTAGAGATATAATGTGCAAAAGGTGTAGAGCTATAATGTGCAAAAGGTGTGAAGCTATAGTGGTGTAAAACATTTAAAAAAATAAAAAAAAATTTCTTTCTCCATTAACTAATGATTATCCATAAAAAATTTATTTTTGATCAATTTTCACCAATTAAAAAAATTAATAAAAAATTGGTAGCTAGCAGATTTTTATAATTTACTATAACACTAGCTGCAAAAATCTCAAAGCGAAATAGAAACATTACTTGAAATGGAAAACATAAATAATTATGACTCTGACAGTGATACCTATTATCCAAGTTTTGTTTATTAAAGCTTACAGTCTTTTATCAAAGCTTACAGTCTTTTTTCAGCAATCACATGTGGTACTTCAATGAAAAGGTGACTCCGCTGTCTCTTTTTAATAACCACTTAGAGAACAAGCAGAGGCAAAAGATTGCAAATAAAATACTACCACTAAAAAATTATATGACAATAATTATATAACAATAATTATATGACAATAATTATATGACAATAATTATATGAAATAACTTCAAAAAGAAAAGGGTTGGGATTTGGGAAATCTATATTTCGAATGCTTCTTGAAATGGCTATGAATGATCTGACTGATTTTATTGGCAAAGACTTCTTAGTATTTTTCACCATATTATTTTTTATATTTATGAAATATAAACAGTAGTTTTTTTCTCAGAACCGGTTACAGAATGTCAAAAAAGCAAAATTTTTCTTGGTTCGAAAAATGTGACATCTAATATGTAAACAACTTTGCTTTACGTGGAATAAAACGCATTTGTGGAAACTAGTAAAAAAAGATAATACCTTCCAGAACATTATGTAAGTTGTCGAAAACAACAAAAATATAAATATACTTTTGTTGTTTTCGACATCTAAATATATTTATATTTTAGTTGACGAAAATAACATTTATATTCAAATAAACATAAATATAATAAAAAAAAATATATCTATTTAAGAAGAAGATATTTTTTAAATAGTCAGGATTGTTCTTTATAAAATTCCTATAAATAAATACAAATTTTGCAAAAATATTTTTAGTCATAACCCTATAGTACAAAAATTTTTTTATATTAGATATATAGATATAATTAGTGTTTAGAATGGGTTATTATATTTCAAAATAGTCCAAAAATATGCTTAGTTGGCTCTGACTGATTCCTTTAATTGTATTCAGACCAAACGAGTTTTATTGAACTATTTCTTAACGAGGACACTATTTCACCATAAATGAACAATTTACATGAAAAAAAGTTGTATAAAATAGGTGACCGCTCCTCACCAAATTTATTTATCCTACTCTTTTTATACCGAAAAAAGTTTTTACAAATCGAAATTAAGAAAAAAAAAATCTTAGGTTGTCTCAGAGATTTCTAAAAATTAAAAAACATTAATTTTGTCCTTTAATGGTATACTTTATGACAACTAAATAAATCTGCTACCGCTAAATATTGTTGAAATAAGCTCAAATTTTAAATAGTTCCTAGTTAGAAGTAACCTCCATATATGTAGTAATTCACAGCAGAGAATGTAAAAGTTTTAAATGTCTTTTTAATCAATCTTTAATAAATGATTATTGATATATAATTGCCTATTAAAAATAATTTTTAAATAATATTATTACTTGTTGTTGTTACTAGTTGTTTGGAAGATTTTGTTGTTGTTGTTTTGGAAGATTTTGAAAATGTTTTTTTCAACTTCATGTTGTTGTAAAATAAAAATTCACCATGAATTTAATCTCATTATATCTATTATTTTACTCTAGAAGTGAAGGTGGTTTTTCTGTTTATTGTTAATCAGTTATTCAAAAAGAATGCTTTGAGAAAATAACAAAGAAAACTTTTAGTAACATATGTTAATCAAAAAAGAAAAGTGATGATTTCAAAATGTTAAGGAAGTTAAATGTACAATGTCAAGATAATATGTCCATTTTCCTGAGCAGCACTTATAATTTAATTTTTTTTTTAAGTTTTGTTAAAAGTATAGAACTCACAACATTTTGGTAAAAGTTTCAGCATAATTCAAAGTAACAATTTGTAGAAATTTAACCTAAAAGTTGAAATTTATCTTTAATTTGTTTTTCTTTGTAACATGTAAAATGCAATTTTTGTCAGAAGTTTGCTATATTTTATGTCAAATTTAAAACTTTTCAGCTTGTTTTTTTCTTCACACTATAAGATTTTCTGAAAAAAAAAAAAATTAAAGGATAAAATTTAACTAAGCTAAAATTTAACTAAGAGCTTGAATGGGAGAATTTTTGATAAACTTATTGTGAGTGCAATAGTTGAACAGTGAAGCCATATGGAACACAGTGGAGCCATATACTCCATTGTATAAAAATTGTTCTAAAATTTTTTAAATGTTGATATGGCAAAACTACCTCGGGTTTTATTTATTAATTTTTATAAATTTATTAATTACAATTTCTGTTAGCTTTTTGAAAATTTTTTTTGTAAATGTAGGTATTATATTGGTAAGGATATACTTCTTGGCTTGATCAAGAAAATAATTTAAAAACTTTTTAAGTAAATTTTATACCTAAATTTTATAATATTTTACCTTGTTGGAAATTTATAAAAAGGCAATACTGAACACATTTTTAAATGAGCAAACTTCACAGATAAAAGTAAAGGTGAATCTTTTTCTATTAACAAAACTATAAATCTAATTAAAATATTAACAAAGTTTTACAATTAAAAAATTCATTTTTAATTGTAAAACTATCATTTTTTTTCGTATTATTGGTTTTATTTTTATTGTATTATAAACTTGTTTTATTTTTATAGTATAATTTTTAATGTAAAATTAATTGTAATTAGTTTTACTTTAACAATTTTTACCACAGTTTTGTAAACTTATAAAAAAATAAAATAATCTAACATTTCAAAATTTAAAATAAAAATAAAGTGGTAGTAATAAAAAATGGAAGCAATGTAAAAGTAAAGTAAACTGGTAAAGCAACCTCAATATGCGTTGTTATGCAAGTTAAACATACATTTTAGATAAACATGCATTAGTCATTAAAACATTCGTAAATAACCTATGATCATGAAAAATGTACAAAATAAAATAAAAAATTACATCAATAATTAAAAGTGATAAACTTATGAAAAAGATAAAAAAGTGTCAAAAGGAATATTTAGGAAGTTTTGAGAGAATTTTAAATTCATTTAAAGACTTGAGGCGTGTTCTTCCTTAAAGCCTCCAAAGTGTTCAGATATAATATTGGAAAACTAAAGCTTAATGAAGCACACTCAGTTAAAGACAATTAAAAAAGTAGCATGCTCATTGTAATAAATAAACGCTGTTATGCATAATATACTCAATAATTTATCAAGTTATGTTATGCATAACATACTTGATAAATTATCAAGTTATTTTATGCATAATATATTTGTTAATTTATCAAGTATATTATGCATAACATAACAGGTTCAGCATTTAAATGATTCAGCGTTTACATACAAGTTTGTACAAGTTTACATACAAGTTTGTGGTTTAGAAAATTTAAGTTGTTGATTATTATGTTAGCAATTTTTGATAAAGTCACAAAAAAAGTTGTTAAAACATTTATAGTTGATAAATAAAAACCAAATTAGACTATTAAATTATACTTTAGTTTTTTATTTCATTATTTTAGTACAAAGACTAATGTTTAAGCATTTCAAACCAAATGTTAAGAGTGTAAATAAAGCATGTAGAATGTTTTTGATTGTTGAAGTGTACCCTGTTGTAGTTTTTTTGTCTTAATTTTTTATGACCACTTATGTGACACATCTTTGCAATTGATAGCCACTTTTTCACAGAATTAACAGCATCTGAATAATTAAGATTAGATCTATCTATGGATATTCAAATTAAATTTTACAAGATTTTATTCCCAAGGCATGTTCAAAAGCTAGTTTGCCATTCACTGCTGAAAACATTTAAATGTTTTTGGGAAAAACAATATTATGATTTTAATACATTCAAAATGTTTTTATGCTTCCATCAAATTTACTCAGCATAAACAGTTGTAAAATTGTTTTTGAAATAGTATAACAATATTTTTCTCATGGAATATAGACATTCATGCATTTAGCTTATCCTCCAGTTATGTACTTATGGTAAAAACAAAAACTTTACAAGAAATCAACTTCAGCATAGCCAAATACAATGTTTTCACTGCTAAGCAAATCAGGCCAAACTTTAAAACTAAATAAAATGATTTTAATTGTTTTTACTCAAAACCAACAAATAAAATTTGTTAAAGTTTCTGAGAGCAGTTTAAAATACGATTGTTAAAGTATATCTGAGAGCAGTTTAAAATACCATTAAGCTTTAATATTAATGTTGAAAAATAAAAATTCAATTCCTTTTGACTGTTGCTGAGCTGTTACAATATTGAGGTGTGCAGCTTAGCATTTTCAGCACCCCAGCATTGCCATTGGGTTTTTTGTAATTTATAAAACCTGTTAACACTTTAACAGTTTAAAGAACTTTCTATGTTATTAATTGAAATACATGAATTATATATAAATAAAACACAGAGACTGGCTAGAACACAAAATCTTTTGCTACTGCTACTTTTTTATCATTAGATTTAATGATTGCAATAAGGTGGCTAACTAAAGTCATATAACTTTTTAAATGAAAAAAAATCAATTAAATAATGTTTTTTATAACGATTAATTCAATAGATGTGCAACTATAACAAAAACATTTGAAAAATTTATGAGAGAAGTTGCACAACTAATGCATATTTATATGTGCAATTGCTCACTTTTTTTGCTAGCCTAAAAGTGAGCGTTTTTAGAAAACGATGAGGAAAAACAAAGAATAATGAATGAAAAGGTTGCTGACCCATACCAAACCCTCAGTCGATGTAGCAGCACTCCACTGCGAGTCAGGCTATTTGTCAGTCGATGTATGTACTGAAGCCCCCGGCAGCAGGCTATTTGACATTAGATGAGTATGACATCATCATGCTCACCTAACTCAGCAGTATAAGATCCCAACTTAATGTCTTGCAATTTTATTAAAGGTAAAATCGTTAATTTAAAAAAAAAAAAAAAAAAAAAGCTACACAGTTCTGTCTGTTTTAATAATAAAAAAAAGATGATGGGTAATTTGTTGCAGATTTATTTTAAGAGAAATAATTATTAAGATTAATAAAAAAGGAAAAGTAAAAAAAAAAAATTAAAAACGTTAATCAAAAGTTACTTTTGCATTTTTTATCTGAATTGCATGTTTTATTTTCAATGTTGTATCCATTACATTGTTGGCCGTTATATTTTGGTAATGGACTATTACAACTATGGTGTCTTGTTTGTATACCAGATTGACAAGGTTGACTGCAAGATGACCACAAAGACCAATGAGACCACCCACCATGAACTAAAAATAAAAACAAAAGCAAATTAATTAGTTTAAAATTCATTGACAATTGTTTTATTATTTATAGTTTTATAGAAAACTTTTAGCTATTTTTGTTTTATTACTGAACCAATATTAAATAAATGATACCCGGACATATTCTACTTTCAAGAAGTTGAAAATCTTGACTGAGACCAAAGCAACCATATCCATTGGATGCATCAGGCATAGAATTAATGCAAAATCTTTCTCGTCTAGTAAAGCAATTACCACATGAATCATAAAATGATTTGTATTCAACCCATGAACTCCATTTCCAATCCACTAAATGATTTAATAAAATCTTATCATGACATCAATTTCATATTATAAATTTAATATCACTCTTAAAGCACTTTACATTGGTTAAAAATCAATAAAAGAGTGCATCAAAGATGAAAAAGAGACTTAACAAAATAAAATAGACATAAAATTAGAGACCTGAAAATCAATGTTAAGTGCTTTAATTTGGATGATAGATGATTTTATAATGTTATGTAACTTAGGTCAAACTAGTTTGTAACATTGTATTCTATTTTCTGTTACCCTTATTGTTTAAATATGTAGTAATGATAGAATTGAAATTGAAAATTTAAATTAATGTTGTATGTAAAACATGAGAATGTCTCAAAAACTTAAATTTGAAAAAAAAAAGAGTATAGAGATTTATTTTAAAACCAAAATTTTTTTATTAAAATCTTTTCTTAATTTGATGTTTTCAAATACTCAGCTTCAGCTTCAAAAAAACCAATGCATATTGATGATTCACTATTTCATATTTTATATATTTATAAGTTTTTGCAAACCAATAATCTTTTAATTATTAAGTAACTATCAAAAAATTACATTGACACATTTATTCTTTTGGAAATTTATTAAAGGAAAAATAACTTTTTCAAATTTTTGATGATTACTAATTGCTCTAGTGAAATCTTTTCCAAACTAAAACTAGTTAACAGATATTTAGGATCAACAATTAGTTTAAATAATTAACCAGGTATGTTCAGGTATGTTCAAGTATGTATCTAAATATTTATTCAGGTGTGTTAATATACTGAACACACTTGATATTCTTTGACAGACAATAAAAGTGCAGTAAGAGAGTTGTGTTAAAAAATAATTTTTAGTGCAAATATTCACTTTTTTAATTTCTTTTATTTAACCAAATTTTGAAACAAAATATATTAAAAAATAAAAATTATTTAGCAAACCTCAATTTTTTATGTATAACATTACACAAATGTTCGTTATAACGTTTAGATGGTATAAGCCTTTTAAATATTAACCTTAAGATATTTAAAAAAATTTAAAAGCCTGAGACTTGGCTCGATTTTGCGCTCCCAAAAAAATAAATACAGCCCTGAATGTGAGAGATCTTTATAGCATACCTTGACATGTATATCTGGTATTAGAACAAGCCCTGGAAACTGCTTTTTACTTGCGAATATTGCAAGAAAACTCTTGAAAGTAAGTTGATTAAGTGCATTATTTTAATGAATTTAGTGCTTTATTTTTTATGATTTAGATATATGTAGTTCATTTTATAAAAATGCATTTGACAAAGTATGTATTGATGTACTAGAGTAAAACATTTAATATTATACTATTTGGTAAGTGAAAGTGAAACTTTATGCCAGGGGAGAAAAAAGATACATGAAGTTTACTATCTTACTTTTTGAGGTTCTACTCAACTTGACTGTTGATGTCTTTCTGAAGTATGGCCTCTACTCAATCTGTGAAACTGTAATTTGTATATCCAATATTTTCCTCGAAATTGAAGTTATAACATATTGTATATTATCTACTGATAATTATTTACTATGTCAATAAAATACGCAAAATAATACGTTGTTTTTTACTAAGACATAAAAATATGATACTCATTTGAATAAAGTATTATCTTATTTTTTCTCAATAAAAACAACTTGCTTGTGCTGTAATCGAAACATCCATGCTTGTGCTCAATGCAGTTGTTTTTCACAGTCTATAGCTATATGCAATTGAAATAAAACACTTTAAATCAAAGAACAAAAATTGAGTTACATAGTGTAATTATAAATTATTTACAAGGTACAATTTTATTTGCCATCTCAATGAAAAATGTAATGTTGAGATTTAGTGAAATAAATATAGTTGTGTAAAATTTGGCGGTTTTTCTAGCTTAAAGTTAAGATTCTTTAACAAATTTAACTTCTATTAATGCTTGAATAGCTCAAGAACCGGTTTTTGAGAAAAGCATTTTAGTAATATGTCTTCTCTCTCCAACAGAAAGATCTTGTTTAAGAAGAACGAGTGAAAACAAAATTTCATTCAAGTCCCATGTAAAAATTCTTTGGAAAACTTTTGGCATCAATGCCATTGAAAAGTGTCTAAAATTAAAACATGTATCCATGTATACTATGTATTTCTTCATTTACTAATAGACTTTTATACCCTGGAAAGGCAGCACAAAAATTGTTGCTGATAACAAGATAAAATAAAAAACTGGGGTGTATTCTGCCTTTGCCAGCTTATTTGTCTTTTATTTGTCAATTCATAAAGAATCTGTTAAACTCAATATCTAAATCTTGAGATAGTAAACTGCCTTGATCATAATATGTACATGAGACATACATTTTATAAATGTAAAACATTTTTTTACATCATTTTTATGTCTAAAAATATTAAAGAAAGTATTAGCAATAGATTAGGTATCATATATTACTAACTTTAAAAAAAACTTTAATTTTTTCTAAGTCTACAACAGAAGTGTTTGAAATGTAGATCATAAAAATGTCTCTTGTGAGCCGGCTCTAATTAAATTAATTTTAGCTTTGCTGGGAAACTAATTTGGCACCTAAAAGTCTTCCTGTATTATTAATAGTATTAAATAATAAACCTTTTTCATCATCACACATTCCATATTTATTGAGTTTTTAAACTAAATCATAATAAGCTTGTTTACATTACTTTTCAGTTGTTCATGCTATTTACTAAGGAAAAATTTATTGTACTTAATTGCTCAATAATAATATTAAGTAATTTTATATACAAGGATGAAAAAAACTAATACTATAGTTTTTTTAAACATAGTAAATTTTAATTTCAATAAGTTTGAATAACAGTTGAATAACATATTAATAACCTCAATCTTAAATTAAACACACCAGTGACAGATCAAGCATTTTTTGGTGTTTGAGCTAACTTGCAGACATATAGTAATCTCTAAATATTTGTATGTTTACACTTATGTCAAAAATTGGTCCTTTTCAAAAAGTTGCGATAATTAAAGGCTGGAAACTAAAAAGGCCTAAAATTTCATCCTACCCGGTCCAATACATAGATGTGGAAAAAGTAAAAAAAAATTGTACTCAAGTAAAAGTACTGTTACTTTAGTGAAATTTTACTCAAGTCCTCAAGTAAAAGTTACCAGTCGAAAAATTTACTCAAGTAAAAGTAAAAAGTAACTTATTAAAAATGTACTCAGAATAAAAGGTTACTGCGTTACTTTTTCAGTAACAAAGCTGTCAAATAAAAAAAAAAAAATCATGTAGTCGATTATTTTTTGCATAAATTTATTTTTTTGCACAGAAAGTTTTTTTTATGGTTGTAAAAACATTGCTCAACATTTTTTTGTAAACAATTCAAAAGTGTCATTTTAATTAAAGTGAGCAAAACTCAGAAAAACAAAAAAATTAAATCATAGTTATTTGTGAAATTAAAAAATACGTTATACATTTTTTTACTCAGTAAGGCATATGATTTCAAATGTAGCAAAGTACAATATGTAATAAATTAGTACTAATATTTAGAAAAAAAAAACTTAAGTAAAAGTAAAAGTACACATTTAAAAAAATGCTTAAAAAATAGAAATTCAGAAAATAACTACTCAATTACAGTATTTACACTCATGAGGAACTGTCAAATATCTTGTAAAACCTCTTTAATGAAGTCTTTAACTTCCTTTGTTAGTATAGGTTCATTCTCAGCATAAATTAGTTCACACTCATATTTTTTCTCTAGGCACCCTGACACATTTTTTCTCCAGCCACCCTGCAGCAGAACTCTCATCAGTTTCTGAAAGACTCGCATCATAAATGCAAGTTGCAATTCAGGTTGCATCTTCAAAACTGAATGGACCTTCACAAGAGTGATCTTTTTTATTGAGTTTTCTTACTTCCACTAAAAAATAATTGCAGATTATTCAAACTTTTATCTTACACAGATCAGTTGTGGTCTCTTAATCTAATATTCTGCCTTTTTACAAAACATTAACAATATTCTATCAATCTGATTTTAAAATGTTATCTTTTTCATATTGATACAGGTTTTGACATCAGAAAAAAAACCAATGGTTTTATTGCAAGAGATAACTTTTGCACTTTTCAGAAATCCAGATATTATGTAAACATTTAAGAAGATGAACTGTATCAAACAAAAAAAAAAAAAAAAAAAAGCTGATCATCTAATGGATGAATGGCCTGATAGTCAGTAATTATTTTGAAAATTTTGCAGTATTGCTGATTGATTTCAGGATTATCTATTAGAGATCCTAAAATAATGTTGGGATTCAATATATTACTAAATGAAATGATGTTTAAAAGCAGAAAAAGTTAGTGGTGAACACAATATAAATTTATTGTAAACAATTATTGTCATGAAGCTCTCTTTAAAATCCTTTGACATAAAAATACATATGAATTTATCTTTTTGTTGAAATATTACAATATTTTCATACATTTGTGTAATTCTTGTTAAGGATAGAATTCAGAAAATGAATTTATTTTGTCTTTTTTAAGAAAATAATTAAGTTGCTGATCTCAGGCTTAGATTGGAGAAGCACTGACTTTGGTGTTGGTAGACAAGAAAAAGGAACATTCAAAATACTTGGAGCACAGGGGTCAAATATAGCCACATAAAAGGATAATAATTTCTGTATTTTTTGGCCAATGTTTTTCATATATAAAAAATTTAGATGGCTCTATAAAAAAATCTTTGGATGAAGCACGTTAATCTATTTCTGTTTCTCAACTTCATCTTGAATTTGAAAAACACAACGCTTATATATATATATATATATATATATATATATATATATATATATATATATATATATATATATATATATATATATATATATATATATATATATATATATATATATAAACTCCACATTTCTTTGGCATAATAAGAGAGATTTTCAAAAAATATTACTTCAACATTAAAAACTCTTCCACTTTGCTAGGAATAATGGCGTTCGCTAGCGTTGTTAGAAAATTGAGTTTGCACATCCTGTCATATAGCAG